CATCTGATGCACAATAGCATAGGAAACTGAGGTGATGAGAATAGTACCTAGTGTTCCTATCAGCCAACTCTGCAAAATTCAGTTTGAGACTTTATCTGTAATTACAGTTACTTGTTCTCATCTCAGTGAGTAACTGCAAACACAACACAGTCTGAGAACAGCAAAGTTATGTTTTGTCTCTTTTCCCATTCCAAAGAATTGGAAAAAAAATTAAGCGGTTATAAACTAAAAATGCATAAAATGTTTCCCTTAGACATTCAAAAGCTTGCAGGAAGTGATGCTTAACACAATTAGATTTAGCCTTTGACAGATGTCTTCTGGAGGTGTCACTGGGTTCTGCACAATGGTCAGAAACCAGTAGTCTGGTGCCAGGAACCCTCAGTCTCCTAAATCCATAATTTGTCATTTGGCTCCAGTTTCTCTTTTGCCTAGGTTCATCAATACTCTCTCTGCATTCTTTCATTAGCAGAAGTGAATAGGAAAAAAATTTAAAAGTAAAGGAAACTCAACACAATCCTTGGTTGTATGCTCCCACTTCTGTAGTCCACTGGGCTGTCCGTACCGTTAGCTAAAGCTATAGAAGCAGTATACAGGGTGGGGAAGTGCTTTGTTTTGGTATTGCAAGTCAGGCAGTGAGGGTTGGGCACTGTCCATCTTAGCTGCAGCCAACTCCTGTTTGCCATATCACACCTCAGATTCACCACAGCCTTACAGCAAAACTGGCCATATTTTTCAATTGCCCCCTAGGCCAGCATCGTACTTCAGTGGACTTATTTTTGCCACCACATGTGGTTTCTCAGACATAATATTTTCTTTTCTTTCTAACGGTAAATTTAACAGGTTTCCCTACAGACTAATTTTTATCCAGTACTGATTTTCCCTGAAGGGCTAGAATTTTACCTAATACACTGACATACAATCAGCATAACCACTGCAAGTAGAACTCTGCCAACACCACTTGAAAGCATACTGTGCAAAATCATAGTGTGGTGAAAAAAAGAACTCCTTTACAACTCCAATCACATTCTCCAGATAGCCACATTTATAGCACAATGTGTGAATAAGGGTATAGATTTACCAGGCAGTTTTAAGAAAACACATTAACAGAAAAAGCTTAAAGTGGAGTGGTGGCCTTTTATTTATAATGGTGATTTTCTTCTGTGAAGAGCTCTAATGTGTTTTTCAGCTGATTTTTGCAAACCCTCATGGATTACTCGGTCCAGTACTAAAGCAGAAACGAACACTTCCTTACATAATTATATTTCTCTTTTGCTAATAATACCTAAAATTCAACACACTGCAAATATTTGAAATGCATCAATCCTATCTGAAAAACCAATTTATTTTATCAAGCCCAAAATATCTAAGAAAAGTGTTAGTCACTTTTTCTACAGAATTTCATGCACTGCAAGAAACAGATTGTACTTATCATATTATCAAAAACTTACTGTCAGTTTACAAATATATTAGGCAGGAGTATTTCTCATGTAAGGAAACATTCTGAGTTCAAAACTCAAGAGAGTTAAAAGGGAACTCTAACACATTACAACACAGCTCTCTCTCCTTTCAGAAGTCTGAAGACCAAATACCTGCTATTGTCCAGTGTCTTCCTTACTTGCTTAAATACTCAACCTTCCTACCACCTTTTATACATATAGACTTGTGCCACTGCATACATACAGTATGACAACTTACAGAAAAACATTCAAGCCTTATGATTAATTTTTTCTCATAACAATGAAGTCTAAAAGTATAGCTAGCCATTAACAATTAGATTATGAGAGGAGACTTGCATGAGAAATGCTCCACCCTGAGACCTCTGTAGAATGACCTAAAGTACAGCATATGGAAGTATCCTCCAACTGCCTTCCTCCTATGAAGCCTTCTACTGCTCCTTTTTCCATAATTTTTCAGATATTCCAGCTTGTCTAGCCCCCTAGGCCACCTGAATCTTAGTTCTCACTACCTGTTCCTTCTTTCCTTGCACAGCTACCAGTCACAACAGCTCCCTTACGTTACTTCAATAGAATCTCATCTTCCAATTGTCAGCCTTCACTAGACTCTATTCTCCTCAAAATTCTCTGCTTTAACCTTTTAGTCCCTCCAATATTTAGCCCTAGTGTACCCATCAGATCTATGTTTCAGCCATATGCTCACCTTTGTTGATGGCAGTAGCCTTAGCTCAACCTTTTTCAAAACGTAACTCTCCACCTTAGTGTGGACAGTAAATCCCTGAAAGGCAAGAACCTGACCAAATGCAAGGATTGCCCCAGGCTGAGCAGGAACCAGCATGGCACTGTCTCCTTCACTCCAGCTGCCACCCTCCAGCAGTACCTTGATTTTCAGATGGTTAAAACTTCCATTAAGCTTTAAAACACTTGGCACAACAAGGCCATAACAAGGAGTTCATTGTCCTTTCAACGCTACCACTGCTGTGTGAATCCTAAGTACTGGCAGTTTGAATGAGGTAGTTTATGGAACATATGTCCTGGTGCTGCTCAAGTAGTCTCTGTCACAGAAGGTGAAGCAAGAAGCTAATGTTTGAGTTCAGGTTTATAATCCCCCATCACAAGTAGGCAATAGGAGCACATCTAGAAGTGACCTCCGTTTATCAGATGGTCCATCTTTGAGACCACATAGAGAAAATGCCTGGCAGGTAGTGAGATAAAACCTTTATGCCAATGTGAATAAGCATGTATGCATATATTCCTATTTATGTTATGGCAACTCCACACTTTTCTTCATGCTGTTTGTATCTTCTTGTGCACTGGAATCAATCAGCTTCAGTACCAGCAGTTCTTAGTTTTTATCTCCCAGCATTTTCTAAAAGTGGCTCCTGGTGACTTACATAAATAAAAGCAGCTTTTTACAGGAACAGATTTATAACTTTAATAAGACTGCCCTCCTTCCTGCATTAAAGTCTACAGTACATGACAAATCACGTTAAGCAAGCTGGTATCAAATCTGAAGCCAAATGCATTTTTGAGCCAAATCTTAATTCTCTGAAGAGCTTCAAGCATATTTTGAAGATGTTAAATTATTGATAAGGAAAATCAATTCTTTTTCCAGCTCAAGCAATGTCATACAGTCACAGTATATGCAATAGCCAGGCAGATTTTCCGTTGCTTTTTTTTACTTTATGACCCTTTCAAATTAAATTACCTACTTTTTTCCTCTTTAGAATCCAGGTAAAAAGTCACTACTGACAGCTTAACAACTTCTGTTTGCTTCAGATAAGAATAAAAGATTTGTCTGAAAACAGACTGTCAGAAACAGTCAAGAAAAGCAGCATACTCCTAAGTTTATTTATTAAACTCTTATTGTTCCACCATTATCATTAAACCTGGTCACTTCAGCAAATAAACTGCAATATGTTCTGATCTGATCATGAACAGCTTCCTCAAAGGGTCTGAAATAATAAAACATGTTCCATCCAGGAAGGCAACAGAACAGCAAACAATCCTGGAAGAAAAGTTGGTAGACAGCAACAATAGCTCTTTGCAAACCTTTCCAAATTAAAAAATTAGTAGTATCTACATATATACTTAGTTATTTCAGTCCCAGTGATTTTACTCAGTATCTATCTCCTAGCTTTTCCAGAGAAAATTTTGAGCACAACAGTGGATATGGTGATGGAAGCATTTTTTAAAGAACCCCAACCATTATAGTACAAGATACAAAATGTTACCAATCTTTCCTGTTCTGAAGTAGAACAGCAGCAGTGAGTAAGCAATTATTTACCAAGGATCAACAACCAATCTCATTCCCTTTCCCAGGAACATCCTAACAATCCGTTTTAGGACCTAATGATATCATAAATAGAGATTTTATATTGAAGATGTCCAGTTTAGTAAAAAATAGGCAAGTATCTGACAGAGGAAAAACTGACTCTCCAGGTTAGTTAGGTACTATGCTTCTCCCACTGGATCCCTCAGATTATACCCCATTGTACTGCTATACAGAGAACAACAGCCTTAACAGATAAAAATTAATAGCTGTGTGCACACAAACAAAAATATCTTTTGTCCCCTGAATACCCTACCAGTTAGGCCACCCTCCAAGATGCGTCTGCCAAAAGCAAAAAATCTGTTCCCAGTTCTTAGATGAGTGTCCCCAGAACTGAGAAAAAGCAGATTATTTTCTGTAAGTGATGTGAGCCAGCAACGCTACAGTGCCCAAAATGTTCCCAAATGACACCATTTAGCAAAAAGAGTGCGGCTGCAATTAACTACTAAACAAGCAAATGCATATTTTTGATGACTAAAGCATCTCTAAGAAAATCCTTTCTAAGTTCTAATATGAAACACACGATAGTGATAAACGCCTGTTTTTCAATCAGCCACAATTCAAATGTGCGATGGCAAATATCCAGACAGGAAAACTATCTGAAAAACATACAAAATAGGCCCTCAAAATAGAGTGGAATGAATTCCTTTGTTGTAAGTAACTCTCTTTAAGCTCCGATTTTCACTACACTGTTTCTGCTCTAATTAAATGAGAAATCTGCTGTGGCAGGAAGCTCACCTAAGTGCTCTAGAGCGAGCTCACACGTCTAGGCAAAACACAGCCACTTGCGGAGGGTAAATAACAGATGTTGTTTTTCCTTCTGCTCCTTACTTAACTACTACTGCACCTGCCCCCTCTCTGCCCGTGGAGTCCCACAGCTCCCGGCAGGGTTCGGGAGCAATGGGCAGCGGCGGCTACAGCGGCAGCGCGGCTGGTGTCCCGCAGCCCCTCCCCATACACCGGCGCCCCCGCCCTGCCAGGCTCCCGGCCCATAGCAGAGACGCCACCGCCCATCGCCCCTCAGGGCCGCGCCCTCACAGCGCCCCGGGCCCGGGCCCTGCCCGCGCGGGGCCGGAGAGCGCGCGGGGCCGTCCCGCCCGGGCACGGCTCCGGCGCGCAGTGCGCAGGCGCGGGGCCGCCTCTTCGCCGCGCGCACCGGCGGAAGCCGCACCGAGCGCGGCCGCCCGCGCCCCCTCTTCGCTGGCAGCGCTCGATCCCCGCGTGTCCCTGCTCCCGCATTCCCCCGTATTCCCCCCACCCCGCGCGGAAAGGATGGCGCGGGTGGGCGCGGCCCTGCTGGCGGGGCTGCTGGCGAGGCTGGCGCTGGTGTTGTATGGGCTGCACCAGGACCGCGCCATGCGGGTGCGCTACACCGACGTCGACTACCGGGTGTTCACGGACGCGGCGCGGCTGGTGACCGAGGGGCGCTCGCCCTACTGGCGGGCCACGTACCGCTACACGCCGCTTCTGGCCTGGCTCCTGACGCCCAACGTGTTCCTCGCCGAGGCCTTCGGGAAGCTGCTCTTCGTGGCCGGGGACCTGGCGGTTGCCGTCGTGGCCTACCGGGCCCTGCGGCTCCGGGGGACCCCCGCCGGCCGCGCCTGCGGCTGCTGCGCCGCCGCCTGGCTCCTCAACCCCCTGCCCATGGCCGTGTCCAGCCGGGGCAACGCGGAGGCGCTGGTAGCGCTGCTGGTGCTCGCCACCCTGTACTGGGTGGAGGCGGGCAGCGTAGGCAAGGCCGCCGTGTGCTACGGGCTGGCCGTGCACATGAAAATCTATCCCCTGAGCTACGCGCTGCCCATAGCGCTCCGCCTGAGCACCAGGCCGGGCCGCGGGCAAGGGGCGCTGCGTGCGCGGGGTGACCAGACGGCGAAGGTCACGTTTATGGCGCGCCTCTGGCACCTCTTTGGAAAGTTGCCGAACCGCGACGTGCTATTCTTTGGAACAGTTGCCGGATCAGTGCTGGCTGCCTTGACTGTGGCATTTTATCGCCTCTATGGCTGGGAGTTTTTGGAGCATGCCTACCTCTATCACCTGACTAGGAGGGATATCCGTCATAACTTCTCTCCCTATTTCTACATGTTGTACTTGACAGCAGAGAGCAAATGGAGTTTTGCCCTTGGGCTCGCAGCTTTCCTGCCCCAGCTGCTTTTGCTCCTGGTGGTGTCCATAGCGTTCTACAGAGACCTCGCCTTCAGCTGTTTCTTACACACCGCTATTTTTGTGACTTTTAACAAAGTATGCACATCCCAGTACTTTGTCTGGTATCTCTGCCTTTTGCCCCTCGTAATGCCTAGCATTAAGATGTCCTGGCGTCGGGGCATGCTGCTTCTCTTTCTGTGGTTCATCGGACAAGGCCTATGGCTTACTCCTGCATACTTTTTGGAGTTCAAAGGATGTAACACTTTCTTATTTATATGGTTGGCAGGCTTGCTTTTTCTTTTAATTAATAGCCTCATAATTGTTCAGATTATTTCACATTATCAAAAAGAAGCACAAGTAGCAAAAAAACTGAAACAACGGTAATAAATGTTTTATATGTAAAAATTATTACCAATAAATAACAATAGTTAATATTGTTAGAATTTAATAATAATTACCTAAATCCAGAAACAGCCCTACTGTTCTGACAAGGCATCAGGTATCACCAGTACTTCATTTAACGAAAGTGTAAGTAAGTCGTACTTAAAGCACATTGTGTGTAAATGTTGCTGTTTCAGGGCCGTGAGAGTGCTGATTTGCCTCAGTTACCCTGAGCAGCCCCAGTCGTGCCCCGAGCAGTGTAAGCAGGTGTACCTGTCTCCCCTGGGGGTCTTGAAACTTGGTTGTAGCCCTTCAGCACTGCTTCCCACTCTGTCCCCCTCCTGGCTGGAATCTCTGGAAGTACCCTGGCCCAGTTCATCGTTTAACCGTGTTTGGGGCTCTGATGAATGGGCTCTACCCATCTGCACTGACTGTCTTCACCTGCCAACTCCAGAGACAGTGTGACTGTGGCCTGCTCCTTGACCCCACACTCAGTTCCTGCTCATACTCCCTCATGGAGTAGCCCTGGCACCTTTTTTCTCATTCTCAGTGTTAGTCTGCTTGTTGAGAGCCTTGGCTTTTGTCTAGAATAACAGAAAATTATAAAGGTGGAGTTTGATTATAAAATTGGAGTTTGACAGTTTTGTACATTCCAGTATGTAAGTGGAGTGTTTGGCAAGGTAATTGTTCAACATTTACAGTGGGGTTTATTTTTCCTTTTGTTTCCACAATAGCATTTTAGCTATGCACTGTTTGTGACTTTCATGTCATTAACTCTTTGAGACTTTTAATTTATTTTAGAATCCAGATATACCACTCTTTAACTTATTATTTCATATTCTGTTCTCTTCAAATTTTTGAATAGATTTATTCCCCTTGCCATGGAGGAAGATTTTCCCATATATCTATCTGTCTGGGATCACAGAGATGTATAAAGCTTAAATATTTGTTTCTTCCTGACAGGTTCTAGAAAAGAGGCCACTGCCTTAAATTTCAGTTAATATATGGTTAATGTGGGTGTTAATAGTAGGAAATACAGAGTCAAAATACAGTTAGAATGGCATCTGTGTCCCAAAAGCATTAGAAGTTATACCAAAGCAGTAATTGGAAATGACGTTTCTCAGTGTTTCTGTTTCTCTGCTATTAAAAAGAAATGAAAAAAATGAAAGGAGTTGAGGAAATTGAGCCATTGCCAGACAAAAAGGGAAGTTTTGAAATAGGAAGCTCTACAACTTGTCAAAACACATTTATTCCCATAGGAGACTCAGGAAGATTTGGAATTGAGTGCCAGGTGATAGTGGGAGGAGAGCAGAGCCATTTTGGAATCAATACTCTCAAGAACATCCAGTAAGAGGTCTGATGTACACAGCTTTTGACAGAGGTGGAAAATGACAATGTATTTTAGTAAAATCTAGTTTCAGTAGGCGTATGCCAAATAAAAGAATTTCCATATTTGCCTCACCTTTTAGCTACATCCAATGTGAAAGTGAAAACCGTAGTGTGTAACCTAGAGCAGGGCTTCAAGGCAAAATAGCTTCAGCCACTTGGTAGAATTCCCGGTGATGTCACTGGGAAAGGGTATGGCCAAGTGGATTTGCCATGCTGCCTCTGAACCCTGGTGTCTCCTGAGGCAGCCCTCTTCCTCAGGACTGCAGTGACTTCCAGCTGCCTCACGTACAGGATGTCCTTTCCTGCTTGCACTGCTCCCTCATGAGGTGGAATTACAGTTTTTTCGTCTGTGAACTTTTCCCATTGCTTCTCAGCCCCGTTGAGGTGGTTACATGACAGGAAAGGAAACCCCGGAGTCCCCACAGCCCAGAACCAAAGAGCATGTTACCAGGAAGTGTGACCATGTCCTTACACCACTCTGGCCCAATTTAGACATTCTGATGTGTTAGAAGGATGATTTCCCTGTGATTTCTATGGTCAGAGTATTGGGGGGTGTTTCTGCTCCCCCACTGGGAAGTTTTTCTCTGCCATCTGCCTTCTCACTTGCCTTCAAGTTGTGAAAATCTTGACAGCCTCTTTGCAAATCCAGAAATTGAATAAGGCAATGGATATTCTTTTGGCTGTCTTGGTTTTTTGGGGCAGAGGTGGCACTAATTTCCTTCTTTCTCTGGAATGAGGAAGGTTTTATAGCAGCAGCTTGTCTACATCTTCCACTAGAAGTGTATCAGTCAAAAAACTGGCGGCAAAAGCCACTTGCACACAGTTTTATATTAATCAGCAAGACATTTTGTGTGTGCAGTGTGTATGTGAAGCAAAATCATCCCATGTGATGTTTATTTTCCAAGGCAGAGTTGGACATACCCAGCTTCAGCAGAATACTAAAGAGGCTCTTCTGCGTAATACTTCTGCTCACCCCGACCTGATGTCCAGGCAATGGCTAATTTTCCTGTGCAGCTGATCCTCCATTATCTGCTACACATTTTTCTGTTGCAAAAAGCTTGTTTTCTTTGCCCAGAGCAATGCTCTGTACTACTTTAACAGACCTACTTATGCTGTTTGCAGACATTCCCACACCTCTATTTTTCCCTTCCTGTTGGCAAAGAAAGCAAATGCAAGCCGAAAGGCATTTCTAACCTCAAAACCTTCTACAAAAAACAGCATTTTTAAGTTACTGTATTCATGACAGAATTGTAATTTTTTTTAGGTAAGAAGTAATTTCCTTATGAAAAATACATTCCTAACTTGTTATTAGCTAAATCATTTTGAAAAGGCATTTTACAGCAATTCTGCATCATTTTTCAGAATACAAATTCTGAAGCAGCAACAGGAACTGAAGGGTACCTTCCCTTTACAGGTCAGTACCAGTCCTGTAGTGATGATTTGAGAAAGCCATGCATAAGAAAGTTATAAAAAGGCTAGTCATCATTTTAATAATCCAGGATGAGCCCCTCTTTTCACAGTTATTTTCTAAATCACCCAAATGTGTTTGTAATTCAGAATTCAAGTGACTCATAAAAGCTGAATAAGAGAAATAAATTGAAGGAGACAAACAAAAAGATATTTGAGGGTTTAGATCTTGCAAATTGCTTTTAAAAAAATTATTCAATATTTAAATGGAATTGAGTAACTTCATTCATTTAAAAAAAGGGTTAAAATAATTTAATGGAGTACCAAATAAGTTATAGTTCTTGAACAAGTTATAGTGAATAGTTATAATGTCCTTAAAATGTACCAAATTCATTTCCTATGTAACATTTGTTGCTTTTGATGCTGTTCACATTATTTTGCTTAATAACTTTGAGTCCATTTATCCTCTGGTAATTAGGAGCTGAAGTGTCTGAATGTTAGTGTTCCTTCCTTACCATGGGTTGCAAAACTGTAATGCTGAATACTTTGCTTTTAAAAGGTTGAAATGCCCATTGAAATATGTCTCACATGCACAAATTTTTCACACTGCACTGAAACCAGCCCTTAAGCAGAAAGAACAAGAGGTGAAAGGCAAAAGAAGAATCAAGAAAAGTAACATTTCTGCCTTAATTTTTACACTGTAGCCTATTGTCCAAAGACTCGTGATTGGATTTGCAAGTGACTTCAAGCAAAGCTCAGCATTTAACAATGATTTGCTTATAAAATTTATAAATGCAATTATTAAAAAAGCAGGGTAAGCAAAAATAAAATAATAAATATTTCATTCAGTTTTATTACGAGGATGCTGAATTACTATCTGTGACACAATGTACTTTTTCCTTATTAAGGAACTTCTTTGTGTGTGTGTCACTTGCATTGTATTGACTCCTGTAATAGTAATGAAATCAAGTAGGTGTGCTAAACTGAGCTCATCAGTTACGAGTTATGATGGTTTCCTTTTCAAAGAAACCATGAGATTTCTACATTTAACAACAAGGTGAAACTCCAACATTTTTCATAATGTTGTATAAAGGAAATGTTAAAAGAGAGTAAATTATGAGCAAATGGTTTGCTTTTTTTATCTTAAGAAGAATGAGTCATCTACTTCAAAAGGGCTGCAGGAATACATAGCGAACACAGGGAACCTCAAAATATATGAGGTATTCCTCATATATTCGCCGAAGACAGCTGCAGAATGCATGTCCTAGTGATGGCAGCTTTATGGAATAGGATTACCCTGAATTTAGGACAAACCCTTTACTCAGACTGAAATCAAACCACTCAAGCAGTTTTCTTGCTTAAGAGCATATTTATATGCACTATACTTGCAAGCCCAAACATTTACCTGCACATACAGAATCAAAAAGAAAATCCAAGTCAATACGCCTTTGAATAACATTTTTCAGAGCTACCCTCTGTAAAACAGGTTCCTTAGATATTTCTTATGTTTAGCACTAAGAATCTCTAGTGACTCTGAAAACTAATTACATAAATTTTGTTGCATAAGGAAAATAAAATCATATGCTGTAGGGATCTTGTGGTGTAATAGATATAATAAAGAACCAGCTAATTATGTATTTCAAGGTGCACATTCCACTGGTAGATGCTCTTTATTACAAAAATCTGCACTAGTCACATATGTGTAGGATCATTGTTTCAGTCTTTATGCATGATGAATGAGGTCAGAGCTACATTTTGTACTAGTGAAAGTATGAGAAATGAAAATAAATGAGAAATAAAAATGTCTATTTATGCAATACCATTGTTTTGAGGCTTTTTTCAGATTATATTTCTTTTAAGACATTAATAAATCGATAAAATAAGTTCATGCAACTGTTACATGCATTTTTAACAGCTGGAATGTCTCTTTTTCTTTAGTATGGTGAAGAAGACCAAAATTTGTCATTTTTCAATGGTGTAAGTTTATAGTACTTTAAGCAGAATTCCTCATGAGCCCATTCTGGTACATGCTGAGAAGGGTAGGGTCTTCTGCAGAAGAGGTTCCTTATTGGGCTGCAGTCTTACTTCATGTGTAGATAAAGCTTTAGCTGCAGTCTCATATTAGTCTTAGAGCTTAACTTTCAGATGTTAATGATCTCTTCAGATAAAACATTTCATGGCTTGCACATAAGGAAATTACACATAAG